TGGCTTCCCCAACCTCAGGTCCGCTATGGCGGACTATCACCTTCGGCGGCCACCTCGGCTATGGCGCATCAGGCCCTGCATACGACGGCGCGCATGGAATAGCGGGTACCAGCTCCGATACCAATGCAATCAGACTCGTTCTCAAACACACTTTTCATGCATGTAAACAGCAATACAGCATACTGGCGACATGCGCCCACTCAAAACTCAGAGATATGGCTTTCAGATACGAGTTCACTCTCAATTGGCTATGGCGACTTCAGCGCCCAAACATCTCACTGTTCACATACACTGGATCACCCTGGATATCCCACACGCGTCACTCTAACACTCGAACACACACACACACACTCGCTACTAACTACAGCTATGGCAGCTATCGCTGCATCTAACCTATCGCTATGCTAACTCCCTCTCTCTTGCCCCCTGCATCCTCCGGGCTCATCTGCAGACCTCCTTGCACAAGTCGCTGTGGCAGCGCTTCCGCATGGCTCACGCAGGAATGAATGAATGGCTGGGCGCTGCCTCTTGATTTATACTTCAGAAACTCGTAAGTCTGCCCTTTGCCATTGGCCCTTGGTGCTCACGGTCCCCCCGTGGTACTTGCTGGACCGGACTGGGACTGACTGGACCTTCCGCGGACTGACTGTGGACTCACCGCTATCCTACGGACATTGTACTGCTGTTGCACTGCGGTTTAGTCCACCACTTGCCTCGCCACTTGACCACTTGCCCATTTGCCTACCTTCTAGAAAGTCTACAGCTAAGCTTCCGGAACTCACTCTTCTACGCTATAGACCTACAGATCGAACCCCTGCTGCCTATGGACCTACGACGGCCTACCAACTGTCTACGAATACACAGGTCACAGGTTCAATTCTCGGGGTCTACACAGATACTGTACATGGGTAGGGTGAGGTCTAGGGATCAAACCCTGGGTACTGCATCCGCTACTGCTAAAAGGTGAAAACCGTTTCAAGTCTCTATATACCGAACATATTGAATTTCCTCAAGCTCACAGGCCTTACTGTCAAAGGGAAGTCGATGTCAATTCGAAAGTGGCAGCCTACCACTCTGCACTCTCTGGATGAGAAACAGGAGCAGTTAATGAGTGAGAACTTGTGGATTGAATTTCACTTCGCCCCAAACATATGCAGACACTTATCCTTGAAGCTCTGCGTAGAATGACACTGATAACTAGTTATGTACACGAACTACCTCAAGTGGTCCCCCCAAAAGGGATGACTCTCTCCTAGTTGGCACCGGCTAGGATAAGAACTTGTCATCTCCATCAAGTCTGAATGGCCTTACTCCTATGTGGGTAAACTATATGCAGTCCCTATCAGCCACACTCAGGACCCGTGGTGCTATGTATGTAAATCTAGGGGACATATCTGCTACGACACTGCCTTCCCGCTGTAAAAAAAAGAAAGGGCATGCCAGGCTGCCCTCACCTTTCGTAAAAAGGAGTATGACTACCAACAGATGACACACTAAAAGTCTGGGCCTTCCTAGAAGGTCAACAACGAGACAGTCAGGCCATGCATATGGCAGGGGCAGGTCAAACCACAAAGGTTTCGCCAGTGCAGATTGCCAGCATACACCAGGTACGTGTCTCTCTCCTCCCCTCATCACCCCTGTCTCCCACAGCATGCGCCTCCTACCCAAAGACCACCATCGCCATCACCCGCCTTGCGCCCCAGCAGCCCGGCTATAGCCGCCATGCGTCCGCTGCCACCACAGCGCCCCTCTCACCTCTTAACGCCCGTGTGTGCCCTGGCCAACCAGCACGAAGCAGCTGCTCGTGCGACAATGCAGCAGCGTGGCCGCAATGCCTGACTAGGCCCGAATGGCTCAGGCTGGGCAGGGCACTTTCCTACATGGAAAGTGCAGCCCTGCATCTGGCTGCTTGGGCCTGGGTGTGTGTGTGCCCAGTAGCTTCAAGTTGGCCCAAAGTGTCTGCGCCTAGGACCCTTTCAGACAGTTGCCTGGGCCCGCAGCTTCGAGGTGCGCCCAACCACCCCCATGCCACTTGTGATGTGTTTCCTGCTTTCTGACAGGCCGAGAGGTCTGCTTCAAGTTGAAGCTTCCAGGAGCCTGGAGCTTCCTTGAAAATTCTGATTCTCACGACTCACGAGCAGGGCGTTTGCAACCAAGTGCCGCATGGCAACTGTCTGGTGCCAACAATGTGGAAAATGGCGTATTTGGGGGGCCATGTCAAATTCAGGCCCGCCTTCACTTAGGGCGGGCGCGCTGCTTGCTTGTCGATGGGTGGGGGGCCCTTCGGCATTTTGGAGGTCGCGGCCTAGCGGCCATTTGTGAGGGCAAGTCCTTGCACATGGACCCTTCCAGAAAGGATGACACACATAAATTGAGAAATGGTTCGGGGGCAAAAAAAAAAAAGCTCCAATACCTTTCACACCTGGATTGAGGCTCCACCTGCCCGCACCCTCGATTTCTGGACATAGATCAGGAAGATGCAATCCGGGTAAGTGAGACCTCATTTCTAGAGAAACCATATGAAAGACAAATGATCCTTCTGATTTCTGCTTCATAGATTGCGGCAAGTCTGGTATCTGTTCTTCTTTCAATAAAAGGCTGACAACCTTGAGATGTCATCTTTGAACCAACCAGCCCCAGGTAAAATCGAAGTTCCTTTTTACTCATCCGACTCTACCGGAGTTCGAACTCAGCTCTGTGTTTCAACTGTTCATGGCTGTACCAACTGCGCTACACCGAAACAAGTGTGGTATGTGGAGAATCACAAGTAAGACGGGGAAAACAAAAAGATAAATCAAGTTTGACAAAGGATCATGATTAGAAGAGTGAGTGTGTTGGGAGTATGAAACACAGATATGATAATACTCAGGATCACCTATCGTATTGGTTAAGTGTCCTCCTAGCAAGGGGAAGGTTGCGTGTTGGATACTCGGATCGCAATGGGCGCGCTGCTTAAGAAAGAAACAAATGAAATCAGACAGTACCTAGGCGCGAAGCCCGTCAGTTACAGTGAAATTGAACGGATTGACTGGCTCTTCGATTTCAGGCAATGCGGAAGGAATAGACTGGAGCCCCCTGCAAGATAGGTAGGAGTGCATGCTTTTATCACTACTCTTATCTGTTTTTGTGGGTGGTATATTAAAAAAAAAAAAAAAGTTGGTTAATTCCGGGCGCTGTACGTGAAATTTAGCTCATTGCTTAACTTATGGTTGGTTTTCCCCTGTGCAGATATTTGAAACGCTGACACTCAACAAAATCAGCAGCAATCTCTCTGATCCTTCAAAAGTGGTGAGCTCAACAAAACACGCAACTGCATGTAGATAATGTAGGGCTACTTTACTCTAAAAGAGCCTAAATCGTTTTTGAACGTCTTCCTAAATCATGACTTTTCTTTTTGTATTTTTCGATCTTTATAACCTTTTGCAAGGAACCCAACTGAATTCGAGACTGAATCACATTTGCAGCACTCCAAAAGCTCATTTGCCCAAAGCATCCAA